ATCAAGGCAGGAAGGACCGCGGAATCGAAGAGGTAGGCACGGAGCAGGGTGCTCTTCGTTTTCTTCATTACTCCCTCGATGTTCTTGAATGCTCCTCAAGCCCCATGGAAGTGAAGACTGATTCCCAAGCGGCTTAGGGAGCATTCAGAACACTAGGGAATGGGAAGACTTGGGAAGTGAACATCGACTGCCGCTTTGCCGGCTGTCGATCTTCACTCCCATGTCTTCCCATTCTAGTTGTCGTATGACGTTCTCTGAGGGGGTTGGGTGAGGTGGTGTTGCCCTATTGAATCCCTCTTTACGCCGACGATGATCTCCTTGTGGAATGGTGAGATCCTGGCAGCACCCATGTTGGGGAGGGCCTGCTGAGCAAAGAATTTTCACAACACGATTATAGGCCATGGATACAGTGGCGAATGGCACCACTTATCATATGCAGGGATTTAGGGGTCTAATACCGAAAATCCCAGATCAGATCGACTGCCGTCGAGTCAACGCTCCCCTCTGGAGCTACACTCGAAATCCCTGAGATCGGGTAGGCGTGGCTGCGTACTTGATTTTAAAATGGCGGCGGCCCAGGTTTTCGTGAGATATTGTCATTTTGGAGCAGTCGTAATCATGTCTACATCTAACACAGAACAAGATAGCAGTTGTTTCAAATTGAAGTATCCCACGAGAAACCCGTCCTATGCCATGCTCAGAAGCCACGCCTACTCCGTCTCAGGGATAAGGAGTATAGCTAGTTGGTACCTGACTTGTTTGGAAGGACAAAAGACACTAATCTCCCAAGCAAGCCATGTCGCATTCCAAAGCCAGTGCAAAACTAAATGGAAGTTAATGCGGTTTATTGTGAAAGTACCAGTAACGAATGGGACATTATCACAAGGGTGCTTAGTTATGGTTCAGAAGTCTTGAACTCATCAAGCGGAACTCGAACCTATACCTTAGGCTTATCAAGTAATACCTTTACTAGTATCCATACTCTACAAGTCAACGTCAAAATCATGCCATATCAAGCAAAACTAGTCAATGCTAAGGCTATCATGTTGTACACTGGATCTGTAACAAAATAAAACTCCAAAAGAATAAATAAAATAAAACTCTAAAAGAATAATGAGCTTTATCTTCAATAATTTAGAAATGATCACATTTTTCGGTTGACACCCGA